AAACTCGGGCATGCACTCAAACAAAGGCGACCACCTCAACTACGGTGGAGGTGGACACAACCACAACATATTGCACCACCACCCGATGATGAGGCCCGTCGACCACGACAAGCCCAATCATATCCTCCCGATGATAAGGCCCATCGACCACCACAACAAGCCCAATCATAATCTCCCTATGATGAGGCCCATCGACCACCACAACAAGCCCAATCATAGCCTCCCGATGATTAGGCCCGTTGACCACTTTGGGTACAACAAGCATGGTGGCGGAGGTTATGCCGAGACCTTTTACGAGCAGCAGGAAGAAAAGCAGTTTTATGAGAACAGTTACGGGCAGTTTGACCGTGGGGCCTACAACCGCAGGCCCGCCACGTGGGACTGCAAGGGGATCGACGACTGAGGGGCTTTTTGGGCATAAACGTACGTGTGTTGAACGAGGTTTTTGGCTAGTACACAAGACCAACACCTCCTTAAAATAATTAATAAAAAGCTATGCATCTTCTATCTACTATTGATCTTATGTCTTTGAGTACTGTGGGGAAAATATAGAAAAGAAATTAGAATAAAAATAATTGCTAGCAGGGGCCTGTTTGAAACTTATAAATGTAACCAAAGCATAAATGCTAAAATATTGTGTACATCAGAAGAAGACTTGAATGGATATTATTGATCAACTGAATAATCTGTCTCTTTAATAAGAAAAAAAAAATTGGTGTTCTGTTTTGTGCTAGTTCTCTCATTCATGTTAGTTTATCTCTGACCCTGTGTTATGTTATTGGAAGGATCAATCCCGAGCGAACGGTAATAGGCCTTTTCAGCATTGTTCAGACGAGCATTGAACATATTCCACTCTCTCCGGCACCTCAGTCTCACCTAAAACACGAAACAAAAATTTTTCGATTTCAACACATTTGTGGTGGATTTTATAATTTTAGAACAATATAAGGAACTATTCTGAAATAATCATTAATAGTTTTTTGCGTAAAATTATTCGAGCAGCTACGTACCGCATCGTATGGTGATTTCCCATTCTCTACTTCTCCCTATCATCATAACATAAAGCAAAAAAAAAAAAAAATGGAAATAATCAATGTAACAGCAACATATAATAATAAGTAACATTACATGTAATATTCTGGAAAGGTTTGATGTTTATTAATTATTATAGATTGAACATCTTTACCTGATTTCCCAATGAAGGTATAGTTTGGTGAACAATCCATTGAGAATCCACAACACCGATTTTTTCATAGGCAGGCTAAAAAGTTGAGGCACGTAATAATCATCAGTATACGAATACGAATGAAAACAAAAGTTGAGTGACTAAAATGTGTAAAAAAAATGGGTAAAAATGCATAGTCCTTGTCGAATTATAGCAGAAAAAAACTTACGTCGACACATTTTTGGAGGGCGAAATCGAGACCCCATCCGTGGACCAAGTCGTTCTACAGTTAACAACCGTAAGTAATTTTTTTACTTTCGGTAAAAAATGTCTAATAATGAAGAAGGAATGAAAACTACCTGAATCATATGCCAAACGCAGCGCCATGCGTCCCGAGAGAAGACAGGAGCCATGATTTCCACAAACCTATGTTTATAAATAGAAAAAAAAAAATGCCAGAAAGAAAGCAATGAGGAAAAGAGAGAAAATTCAAAAGGGATAAATATAAATACGTAAAATTATAATAAAATACGTACGCTGCACAAGGAGGCGAATGAGGATCCGAACACCAACCGGGCTTCTCCTCTGCTCCCCTAGAAGATGAAAAAACAAACAAAAATTGATTAAAGAAACCGGGCTGCGATCACTTTCACTTCACTGCACAAATATATTAATTAACCGTACTTGTGAACTTCAGAGTCGGTTCGCCTTTTAGTCATCTGCCAAGGCATTTTCTTGTTCGGTTCCAAACCGGGCTGTGATATCTCCAAACCATATTTTCTGATAATCTTGATATATCTGCCATTTCAAGAAAGAAAAAGAAAAAGAAGGATTAAAGAAAGTTGTGTATTTGAAGCTTCTTAGTTTTAAGTTGAAAATCGGTTAAGCTTAAATCTTAATTACTCTTCTGCATCAAAATGCTCGGTTCCAAGATCCTCGTCCCAAACAAATATATAGTCGTAAGGGGCTATAATGTCTGGATGTAGAAACCTTTTCGCATACCACCTTTTTTTTTTACAATACATTCAAACACATAGTAAAAATCATCAGCTTCATCGAGAATTTCGTAATGAACAATCAAAGAAAAAAATGGAAATTAAAATTTGTCCTACCATTTAGTCTGTTTTCTTGCACTGATATGAATAGCTCGTTTGGACCACTCGAAATTGTCCCATTCGGTAGTTCTCCCGTCGTAATGAAACAAAACGATCGTGAAATTATCTGAAAACTGCACGAAAATGCGAAACAACGTAAATAAAAAGTAAAAAGAGAAAAAACAAATGCAGGGGACTCATTAACACGAAACGAGGCATAACCGAACCTTTTTCACTGCCTTGTCGATATTGTTCCTTAGATCATAACCAACAGTAAAAGTCACCAGATATTTCGGCTTATTGTCCAAGTCCTAAGCAAGCGAGAAGTGATCGAATTTTTTTTTTTCCAAGAAATGAAAAATTTAAAAACCGAAGATAAACATGCGTGTGATCTTCACTATATAAACACTCAAAGAGAAGAAAAGAAAAGAAAATGAACTCTTCACTATATAAACACTCAAAGAGAAGAAAAGAAAAGAAAATGAACTCTCACCTGCCTAGGTAGGCCCCACAATCTGCGTAGATATAAATCTGATTCCGATGAAACAATGCCCGAAGGCAATCTCTCGGCGCCTTTTGGATTTGTCGGCACCCAAATCTGATTTTTAAAAGAAAAGTGTTGGGATACATTCACATTATTACATTTTAAACACAAATGTCTCTGCTTTTTGTATATTGACAGCTCTTTCTGACGTAAATATCTTGAAAGATCGATGGAATAGAAGAGCGCGATGCACGTATTTATTCGCATGATGTAATAGACTATAAGCAACTAAATGCAAAAAAAAGCAAAGAAAAAAAAAAAAAAA